GGAAGGTAGCGAGTTTAAGAGGTTCTTTTTCGTTTGCTCGAGAGAGGATAGTTGGTTATGGGGATTTATGATAATTGGATAATATTCATTTGATATGATGTTGAGGTATGAATATTCGTTCTGTTTCTCTGAGTTTGCAAAAGTGATATCAATGTTTATTCGACTGTGAAAATTGTGTAGTTGTTATATTAAAAAATACAATCTCTTTTCTTTCTTTCTTTTTTTTTTCTTAATTGAATAAGCGATGAATATAATCATGATTCTTCGCAAATTAATGGATTTCATTCGTAGATATGAAAAAGCAAATGTTTCAATTTTAAGTAAGGTACGATTTTCATTATACAATCGAAGATAAAATCTTTAGAGGAAACGTTGTCGTACATTCGAATAAAATTATGATTCTCAATCGCAACACGCATATCAAATTTTTCCATTTTGATTATAATTATCACGTATAAAATTTTAATCATCAATCAGATTAATTCTTACAATCGATTAATTAAAAATTCTAGATTAAAAATATCGATTATAAGCGATCGTTTTTTTAAACAGGGGGCAAGAAATTTTTAATTTTATATTTACGTTAAAATGATATTAAATGAACAATTCTTCACTCACCGTTAATCTGCACGCTGGTCGCGCTGTTGTTAAGGAAACTAGCATCATTGTTGTTTCCATTTCCATGGACACCGTTCATTTTCGGCTCGACCACGGTCTTGTCGTTGGTTTCGGGCAGCTCGATCTTCGTCTCGGTCCTCTGATGATGAGGATCGGGACTGGTCTTTCCGGGCTCGACATACTGTTGGGAGACGAATTGGGCCCGTTGATGGCCGTTCTCCACGGGACCGCCCTCCGACTTGTGATCCAAGCTCACCTGTTGCTGCTCATCGTTCAGCCGCGACTCGGTCGCGCAATCATCGCTGGCGAACGCCGGATTATCTATACCATCTTCCGTCGACATCTCTCGATACGCCTCGCCGGAAACTGCTGGACCCTCACGTGATCACCGATCACCCGGTATCGACTCTCATGCGTCTCGATTCTGTCGAATGGAAAAGTTTATGGAGATTAGAATTGGGCTCGAAAGAAAGATCTCGTCTGTGTGTGGATCGATTCTTATGTGTATTAATTCTCTCGTCGAATAGAAAGAGTCATAGAGATGAGAATCGAATGAAGATTTTTGAAGATGTTTGAAACTTTGGATCGATTCTCTCTTGATTCTATCGAATAGAAAAATTCATAGAGATGAGAATCGTGAATGTTTGGAATCTTTGGGATCCATTCTCATGTGTATTAATTCTCTGTCGAATAGAAAGATTCATAGAGATGAGAATCGAATGAAGATTTTTGAAGATGTTTGGAACTTTGGGTCGACTCTTACGTGTCTTGATTTTGTCAAATGGAAAAGTTTATGAGATGAGAATTGGGCTTGAAAGAAAGATCTCATCTGTGTGTGGAGATGTTTGAAACTTTGGATCGATTCTCTCTTGATTCTATCGAATAGAAAAATTCACAGAGATGAGAATCATGAATGTTTGGAATCTTTGGGATCCATTCTCATGTGTATTAATTCTTTGTCGAATAGAAAGATTCATAGAGATGAGAATCGAATGAAGATTTTTGAAGATGTTTGGAACTTTGGGTCGACTCTTGTCTTAATTTTGTCAAATGGAAAAATTGGGCTTGAAAGAAAAACCTCATCTGTGTGTAGAGATGTTTGAAACTTTGGATCGATTCTCTCTTGATTCTATCGAATAAAAAAGTTCATAGAGATGAGAATTATGAATGTTTGGAATCTTTGGGATCCATTCTTATGTGTATTAATTCTTTGTCGAATAAAAAGATTCATAGAGAATTGAATGAAGATTTTTGAAGATGTTTGGAACTTTGAATGGATTGTCAAAAAATATATTTTATTATGAAGATAAAAATTGTGTTCAAGTAAAGATTTTTAGGGATGTTTGGATCTTTGAATATTTTTAGAGTTATTGTTTTATGGTAATATTTATTTTATAGGTTTTTATTAGAAATTAATGGCTTTTGATTATGTTTGGAGTTGTTATTAATAGAATGTTGGAGTTGTTATTAATAGAATGTTGTTCCTTTATAGAATGGTTATTATCAAGGTTTATGAGGTATTTGAATTATACTTTTTTGTTGATTAATTTATATTGAAGAAATTATGTATACATATCCCATATATTTTATATTAATTAATTTTTAGTAAAACTTCATGATTTTTCTTTAGATATTTATGATTATGAGCTGAACTATTAAGGTCTTTGATATATTGGATATTTGAAGAATTTTATATTGAATTTTTGTTATAATAAAATACCTATTAAAATACTGTATTTTACTACCTAGGATATTATTTATTCTTTGTGTTAATTATATTTTATAATTTATAATTTACGTTATAAATTCTTATTTGTCTTCATTTGCTGTCCTTTTTTTTCTGAAAAATTTTATCTGAATATTTTAATTATACTATAAAGATTGGAGATTTCTATATATAGATTGTACAATATGATGATTGATGGTATGGCACGCGTGAAAAATATCCGTTTCATCTGATTACGTTGATTTTTCTTGATTTTGCCGATGATGCGTAGAAAGAAATCAAATTACATAAGAAAATCCATTAATAAATGGCAATAATGTTGAACGTTTCGTTTTTTGAAAGATGGATAATGAAATGTGATTGCTGGAAAACATACATAGCCATAGATTAATTCATTTCTTTTATTTATTCTCAACTTATAATGAATTTCCTGTTTCGATTTTAATTAATTTTATCATTAAAGTAACATCATTAAAAACTATTTAAGTATATCGACTTAATAATTAATTCTGGACATCTAAAAAATTATATCTTACACTAAACCAACAATTAAAATATAAGAAAACTTGATTTTTTACAACTTAAATTAAATATCCTCTATCTTTATTTAAATTCTTTATTTAAATGTTTTTTATTTTTATTCATATAATTTTCTTTCTTGTAAATTCTTTCAATTTCATCTTCATTCGCTATTCTTCCATTAATTAATTGTTTCAATTCAAATACTCGAGAAGAAAACACATCTCAATTTATTCACCCAATAACCCTTTATTATTCTTCCAATTTAAACATTTCAAAATTTTATTTTTCTTCGCCATTGTTATAATTTCTTTTTTTTTTTTTAAAGAATATCAGTATTAGCTCTCCACTTTTTTTTTTTATCAGAAGAATCAGTACACCGTGATTCCACGCTTGAATGAGGATATTCCCCGATATCGGAAACGCATTTCGCAGTTTCCGTTCGTTCGTCGAGCGAGCAGCTTCTCGGTGACCGATTTCGGATCGTGGTGTGTAATTTATAGCCGGAGAAACTGGAAGTAAGTCGATCCGATTATTTCTGCTGACGAAATTCAACGAGTGAGATCGACGTGTGATCGATCGAATTTTCCATGCTCGTTACATTTCGTTTGCCAAATGGAATTTGCAAATAAATCTTTTCACTTGCAAGCAGGAAAAATATTCTTTTATAAGTGATTTAACATTGTTATTGATTAAACGTGATTGCACCGTTTGCTTTGCAAAATTCATACAAACGATCGATGAATGGAACTGATTGAATTTTCTAGTAGTTTTTGAATTTCTTATTATATTTCTGATGCGATCGATTATAATAATGATAAAAAAAAAAGATTCTTTTCTCTTCTCTCAGTATCGTTCATCGTTACAGAAATCGTTCATTTGCCTCATCGTCGTGTCATTGTTCGTGTTAAATTAGTGAAATGAAATTTTTTTTCACGTTCGTCGAATTTTGATTATCTAATGGAAAGTATACATGCGTTACAGTAATTTTTTTTAATTAAAAATAAAAAAAAAAGTATTCCCTAGTATCGTATTATCTTTCAATCGAAAACGGTTTCTTCATATAAATGTTTCGTAAATACATTCACAATATATAGTGACAAAAAAGTAGGAAATAATTATCAAATAATTTATTTCATCTTTACATATAAATAAAAAATATAAATAAAAAAATTTAAAATTCACGTATATTCGAAGTGAAATTCATTAAAATTTTCGTCTCAATAATTTTCGTGTCAAATAAAAAATATTCGAGACAAGACGATAGTGGTATTACGGGATTCACAGAATCGCGTTTATTATTATAGCACACGTGCAACCACACAGCTCGAATTATCCTGAACGCTATACCAATTACACACTTACACCGTTCCACTTTGGTCACGGTGTTTGTGACCACGCAGTTTTAATTAAACAGCACTACTTTTTCCTCCCTTCGTTGCCTACCGATAATCCGCTAGATAAGATTTTCTAAATTGAGAACAGTCACTCGTTTATCATCCAGAGAAGAATAAGGGAATAAGGGAATCTCTAAGGGATTAGGCTTTAAGGACAGGTTCGTTATTAATTAATTCCAGCTTCTTCGTGCACGTAATCGCAACGATTATGCAGAATTATTCTGAATATTCTGAATAACAATCGGTGCACATATAATGGTTTCACTCGATGAACAGAAATTAAGGGAAATTAAAAATAAAAATTTTTAACGCTTCGAATTTTTCTTTTCGAAAATTTTGCAAACGAATAATTTTTCTTTTCTCCGTATTTATCGTTTCTATTATACTTTAAAATTTTTGCTTACAAGAACGATAAGGCAACACAATAATGATAACGAATATCTAGCTTAAAAACAATATAAACAATATATGTTTTTTCGTGTATCAAATTTTGAATTTTCGAATTTTCATTTCTTCTATAAAAAATGTATAATATTTTCGTAGAAAGATGGAATAAATAATGTAAGACAAATAATGTAAGAAGATAATTATTAATTCTTCAAACGAAAAAAAATTGTTGTCACTCACCGAATTTGAAAAATTATCATTTTTCCACCATAACGCAAGCAAAATTTTGGATCTTTTGAAACGATATATCAATCTTCTTCGTCACAAGAAGAACCGGATCAAATGTGGTTTCGGATATTAACGTCACTTCGGTGTGGTGACGTCAGTGGTTGAAGCAATTTTGAAAACTTCGCACGAGATGAACGAACGAGGCGGACATGAGAACCGTGAGACATTACGCTTCTCTGCGTCTTCCATTCCATGTATTCTTATCTTCTAAACGACTTTGTTTTTTTTGTTTTTTTTTTTTTTTCGAAACGATTTATCTTTCGATTCTTTATCACATGCATAATTTATATTACAATTGCAACCTGTCGTATTATACGGAATTCGAAGGACATTTTTGCAGTAGAAAAGAAAAGGCAAAATCCAATGTAAATATTACGAATGTAAATATTAAATATACATGCTTTTTATATTTCATCTTGGAGAAAAGAAAACACGGTAATTACGAGAAACGAAACTTGAAACTTTCCAGTATCCTTTTCATATTATTATTTCTCCTCCAAGAAATTATATTAGCATATTTTATTAACATCTATATTGCGATCTATTTGAATAGAAAGAAATCTCTGAAATTTTTAAATTTCTAATCTTTCTGGAAAAATATCTATTGATAGCTCCCGATTAAAAACTTCACGATATTTCAAATGGGCTATTTCCAATTATTCGTTTCACGTAAACATCAGTTTTAAATACGAAAAAATTTTCAAGAATTCCCGTCGCCCAAACCTCCTCGTATCCCCTTCCATCGCCTCGAACCTCCTCCCTCGAGCGGGAGGCCGTGACTCCCGCACGTTTTTTTCTTCGATTTTGGTGAAACGTCGCGCCAACGAAAAAAGGGCCGGGACAAAAAAAGGGAGCGGGATAAGTTACGGCTCGTAAAAAGCCGCCTGTGCGCGCCGCGATCTTTGTCTCTGTCGGTTCACCCTTTCATTATGACAATTTAAAAAAAAATCATCGCGGATCAAACTGTCGTAATTCGATACGAGACCGATCTGAACTGGTAAGTAGAAACTTTTATCTATTTATTCCTATGAAACTTGTGTATCTGTGTAATGTAAAAAAGAGAGAG